AGAGAGAGAGAGAGAGAGAGAGAGAGAGAGAGAGAGAGAGAGAGAGAGAGAGAGAGAGAGGTTCGATCACAAGCATGGCCACGGGGGCATATATCACACGACACCCAAGGTGCTCACATTCGTTCACGTATCACCAGGCAATCAAACTCCACGACAACGACAAGGTGCGGGCAACGGGGATGGGGCGATGATTAGTGTCGTCGTCGTCTCCGAGACAGCGTCCGACCGGCACGTGGATGTCACGCATTGTGTGGGATGTGTGGCAGGGCCCACAACCGTGACATGGCTTTCTGCAAGGAGGTGGTCGGTCACACAATCTGATACTACGACATGCGCGTCAACGACGTGCATGCCATGGACATAATGGACGGGATGGGGGCCGATGCTGGTGGTCGCCTCTCTCACGTCCTTCTTATCGCCATGAACCGCCACCCCATCATACCAGACAAATGGAATGGCAACTACCATGATGTCGTTGGTGATATCATAAGGTATCTGGTGTCCGCCATCGCCGACGAGTTTGTGGACCATGCGGACGACTCCCCGTTCATCCAACTGCGACCGGGCGTGCATCGGGGAACCTCGTCATCCTAGTAGTACGAGGATTTGTTTTTCAGGGCCTGGTTGCACTACTCTCCATACTCAAAGTTTGGCGAGTAGGTGCCCGGTTGCACTTAGGGCCTGGTTGCACTACTCGGTGGAGAGTGAAAAAAATGAGAATCGTGTCAAACTAGAGGCCTGGTTGCACTTACTCGCCACAATATTTCTTCTACAAAAAAATTAAAAAAAATTGTCTGCATGATTTCGACTCGTGAAGCCATGCACTCTCCAAAAAGTTATTTTGTGGAGAGGTCCAAGGACCACGCTCCACAAATCGTCGTGCACATGCGGGGAAACTGAAAACACTCGCCACAACTTGTGTCGACAATGTGGCAAGCAGTCTGGCGTATTTTTCATTCGCCAAGTTTGGCGAGTAAGTGGAACCAGGCGTCTACTCGCCAAACTTGGCGAGTAGTGCAACCAGACCCTTACTTGCCAAACTTGGCGAATGAAAAATATGTCAGGCTGCTTGGCACACCGTCGACACAAGTTTTTTTTTTTTTTTTTTTTTTTTGAGTCAGACTTTATATTGCAAATTCCGCAAAGAAGGCCGGAAAACCTCACAAACAACTCGGTGTGTATGTAGGGCACATACCTAGATTAGGCTACTGCTGGAAATCGGGTCCAACATCCCTCCTTTCTCAAACACGGTCATCCTTCAAAAACCTTGAAAGCACAAGAAAAGGAAGAGGGAATCGACCAAACTAAAATTAAACCTTTAAAACCCATAACTTAGTCGGATTGGTCACCTCAAAATTAGTAGGCATTACACCTATATGGGGAGAGGGCTCAGAGGGGTAAAGGCGATCTAGATAGCAGAGAGGTGTGGAGCGAACACCTATAACACCATCGAACTTCGTTAGTCCTATGTGTAGCCGGTGTCCTACAAACTCCTAGCCTCTCCCTTTAACAACAAGGGGCCAATAATTAAATGACCTTCGTTGGTGACCTTGGCCAACCTATTTCCTCTCGCCCAAGTTCTGAGAAACCACTTGCTGCCCTTACTTTTGGCATTGCGGCATCTTCCTCAGTCTATCTGGATAGCTCGACGGATGTTCTTTTTCACTTGAATGATCTGTTTGT